TTTATTGGCCAATAAACTTCTGTTAGCTAAAAATCAGCCTCGTCTCAAGTTAATTTGGTTCTCTAAACTTGGGTAAACGAATAAACAAAGGCTAGTGCCTAACATTTCTGGCGAGCCAGGCAGGAGTCCCGAAGGCAGGGATTCCTTGGGGAGGCTGCTTTTAGCCCCTCTCTATATTGCCTTCACTATAGCGGACGGAGGAAATCGACGGGGACCTTTAACAACGTCAAGCGCGCGCCTGGAAAGTTTTCCAGTGACCTTGTGCCGGGCACCGTCAACAGACTCCGCTCCTGCTGAGCCTGAACGCCCAAAATCGAGGCTTTTTCTTTTATATCTGTTGTATAAAGTGGATTTGGGGAAACTGGAAAAGGGTGAGTATGCTTTTATTAGGGGGGAGAGCTGCCTTGTGAGTGCGTGAGTGAGATGTGGGAAATTCCACTAGGGGCTTGCCTACGAAGTGAGTGCGGTATGTGTGCTTGTTGGAATATATTGTCTTAGAGGAGGATTTTGTATTAGGTGAACCCACCGTTTCATGGAGAAGGATTTCAAATTGGGAAGGGTGACTGGCCAGACCCCGAGCCGATGGAAAAGGCCCGAGAAATTCCCAGAAATCCCGAGCTGAGCCCTGCATCGAGGGAAAGACGGACAGGGAGGGAAAGAGCCCGAGAAATTATCCAGGTGCAGTTCACAGAGATCCTGAGTTGAAGGAAAAACCCGAGAAATCCTCTTTGTGCCAAAACCCAAGCCGAGGGAAAGGCTTAGGAGAAAAAGAAAAGAGAAAAAGGAATCATAAGGCTTAGAAGTAATTTTTAGAAAAAGAAAAGAAAAAGTGGCAAGATTTTATATTCTTTTATTTTGCTATCAATCTTCTTATCATCAGAAGAAAAATGCCAAGTGCTTAAAGCAGCTACTGACGCTTATACAGCTGCGAAAGAAACTTGGATGCACAGGCTGGCCACCCACTGGGTGCCTGACCGGCCGCCCAGTTATGAGGCTAACCCCAGTACCCCAGATAGAGGACTTGTTTTGGAAAGGGTTAGAACTGCTTTCCTTCAGAGACTGCGATTGGGTGTGTTAAAGACAGTGAATTTTCACTGTGTCCATCAAATTGTTCAGGAATCTAAAGAATCCCCTATGGAATTCCTGACACGCCTTAAAGATGGCCACCGCTGCTTCACTGATCTTGACCCAGAAGCCCCAGCCAATGAAGTTATGATCAAAGCTGCTTTTGTTGGCCAAAGTGCTCCAGATATTAGGAAAAAGCTTCAAAAGTTACCTGCCCCATCAACCCCAAAATTTTGAAACTCCTATCTAGATGGCTTTCACTGTTTATTCTCAGAGAGAGCTCTGAAGATAAGTTTTAAAATGGACTCTTGTTGCTAGTTTAATATTAATATTTGGGCTCCTGCAGTCATTTAAATTGTTTACTGTTTACTGTTTATCTCTTTCTTTACTTTCTGCCTCACAGCAAAACTATGGCTCTGTTTACTTTTATGTTTATTATAGCCTATCTGCAAATGCCATAAATGTAATACCCACTAGATTGGTTGCCTACTATCAATTCCTATCTGACTTTGGTTCATTTAATAATCCCACCTGGTGAACCCTTCTGTGCTCTCGAGGGAACCAACTGGGATTCTGTGTTTAAAACATGTTTTGTAGGAGTACCTGACCTGTTTCTAAATGTGCTCCATAATTTGTGTCTTCTTTGTGACACTATTGTTTTACTAGCAGTTAGCAGATAACAGAGGGGCAGAGAGTAACTTGAGAACTATTGCATATGGCTGCATCATCATATGAATATGTATGTGTATACATATATGTTCTTTTTCCCTTCCCCTTTTTTGTAGAACTGTATAAATATCAGAACATCCATTTTGCCTGGAGGGGAGTGCCTCCCACTAACTTT